GGCTTGGGCGTTGCCCCAATATACCACGTGTCCTTCAGGGCTGGGGTGCAGCTCACAGAATATTTACATCATTACATTTATAAAAGAGAATCCTCAAGTAAGAACAATCTAAGCTGTGCCATTCATCTTTATTAACACACAGGGTCCACACGACCCAAGATAATCAGGCCCCCACGCGTACGTGCTAACAGTCTGCACTGAGAGGGGGCGAACTGGGCTGAGAAGAGTCTACAGAATTGTGCTTCTATGTGCGAGAATGACACATCCTACAAGCGAACCTACATGGTGCAACAAACTTGCTCTCGTGATTCCCATATTTATTTTTCTCAACACTAACAACATACAAAAAAAAAAAAAAGAGCATACTGATGTCCACAATAAGAGATTTTTTGGTGTATGTGTATGTGCGGGTGGTGCAGGGGTTGTTTGTGTTCGCCGAGTGGCCCCTCACTGCTGCACGGACAGCGTCCGATGCATAGCGAAGCCGATGGTGTAGTTCCGGGAGGCACGACCCATGCGGCGGAGGCGGCCTGTTGGCACACGCACACTCATTTACAATCATTAACACATGAAATACAACATTAAAACTATTACCAACAATTCATCATAATTTTGCTCTCTTTTAAATTACAGCAAAAAAATTTACTTAAACTATTGTTTGTAACGATACACACGTGGTACAAATTTTTTATGAGGTTCATTAGCTTTTACCATGTTAACTACTTATGGTTTACGAATATATCTTGACATTTCTTTGTCAGACTTTGTTAGAATGTTCTAGACAGGAAATGTCTATGAATTAAATGAATAATTTCTTATGAATATATATTCTTTTTATAATCTTAGCAGTGCTTTGTAAGTAGCAGATAAAGAAAAAACTACAAGTATTCTGTGAAAATTCAAAACTTTTCAGGGTGAATTACCAAAAATTGAAATGGCAGGCATGGGTAGTTTGTATTATTCAAGAATACATTGTACGTATCAAAATAACAAAATGTATACCAGAAGATTCAATGATTGGCAGTAAAAATTAAATGTCACACCTTCACATATAATATATCACGATCAACCAAATACGTTTGTCAAAACTATAATCAAACAAATTGTTTCCTTACGTAAAATAATTTCATGAATTCCCAAATTTCTGGTTTCTTGTATTCTCCCACAGACATTATTCAGATAAATAAGTTAATTTCTTGTGACTAACCAGTAAATGACTTAATAAACAAATAAGTTTTAAGTAAAAACTACCATAAGTTAATAACTAAGTGAAATCCAGTGGCATAGTGACAGGCAATACTAAGATTTTGAAAAACCACATGTAAAATATTATTAGAGAGTCTTCAAAATTATATTGAAAAATTAGCAAAATTCATCTAATGAGGATAGTGGAAAAACTGATCATTTCACGCGTTAAATAAAAAATTAGCATTCAACAAAAGTGATAACAGCTGTTAATAGTGGCCCATAGATTATTATTATTATTATTATTAATATTATTATTATTTGATTACTTTTGTTCTAATAATTCATATTATGACACTTATCTCTGTTTTGATAAGTTAGTTTTGAAAAACCAAAGTGGATAGCATTTTAGCATCCAAGCCAATAGCAACTCGTGGCTTTATGAAAAGATGATTTTCACCTAAATAATGCACTAGAGAAGATCTTATTTGCAACTAATAAAGACAACAATTATTTTCTGCTAAGCTTTATAAGGGTATTTTATCTTTCTTTTTTCACCCCCTCCTCTCTCCATGTATTGTTAATCCAAAATAATGAAATAAAGTTTGTCCTTTATTGGACCCCAACCACAGTTTTTATCTGTCAACCAACACCGAGTTGCTTCCAACAGAATCAAAAGTAGAGTAGGGCTTCCCAATATGATCGACATCAACTGGAGGGGAATAAATTTTTAAAGAGGATCAATAGCAAAACATATACCAGTGACAGATCAAATATAATCAAGATCCTACTTATTATAAAAAATTATATACTATGTTAATAATTCATTGGTTTCTTACATAAAGCTTCAAAACATTTAACAATAAATTACACATTTGCTCACCTTTTTGAATTTCACATTATTTCTAATAACGAAAATCAAAGATTTATGCAATTATAATGAGTGATTTTATTTACAAAATCTTGTTTATATTTTTGAAAATTGAAAATGATATTTTGAGTTATCATCCAAAAAATAAATCCCCCCTTCCCATTTCATTCTGTGTTATTTTTGTATGCGTTTTTCCATACTACATTTGTTATCTGTTACATATTTACATTTTAATATGTTATTCTAATCCTTTTGTTGCACTGAAATGATCTGCAAACCCGCAGATGAAATTTGTACAATTTAACTTTATGGGTTGGTTTTTGTCTTGCCGCAACCACCAAAAACACAACTTTTTCTTATGTTGCTCAAATATCAAAGTTGACAATTTGCTTATTGAGCAAAAGATGTACAAGTTTTTATACAATATTTTGTTTTGTTTAATGCAATTTTATTATGTTCTCTAACAATAATTAAACATTTGTTTTTTTCATTCAAAAAATCATAAATAAAATGTGATAATTTCCTATTGGCCTAAATATTATTGGGAATGACTCTATTCTTTGCTTTATTTGGGTGAAGTATAACATCCTAAATGTGCTCTAGAAATGTAATAGTTATTTTCCTATCATAGAATTTTAGGGAACAGATGATCTTCAATTCATTATTCAGCATCCCAAATTGTACGAGTCACACTATGCCACTGGTGAAATCGCTGAAAATAAATTTTTTCCTTAAATACTTCACGTCAACAATTTTTTTAAATCATCTGTGAATAAGCTGAAAGAATACAGTTGAATGTTATAGTCTTGTGAATTGTCAATACATTTTTAAACAAAATATAAATTAAAATATGAATGAACATATGAAATTCCCAAGAAAAAAAGAGGCTTTCTTTTAAATGTTCATCTTTATTGTTTTCGACTCTCCAACGACTAATGACCAAATGACCAGTGAGAACATTTAAAATAATTACCAATTTACAAAAACTTTTTTATCACAATTTTCCTACTTTTTATTATGATTTATAACTACTAAAAATACTTTGTAAGCAATCTCAAAAAATATCAATATCCTTTTACAAGAAAACACAATACCACCTAAAACATTTCTTTCACATGTGAAATTTACTCTCAAATGATAATGGGAATTCCCTGCCACATAAGGCCAGTGTGACATTAAAACAATTTGCATATTCATTGCAAAGAAATCAAATCAGGCAGTATTGCATTATTTTCTTGCAAATCATTAGCTTAAAAAGACGTGGAAGTAAATTCCACTAGCAAAATGTTTTCTTATGAGATTTTAAAAGAACAAAAAATGGTAATTCCACATTATACTTAATACAAAGAAGAAAAAAAGGTATTCTTGTCCACTTCAATGGAGAAACTAGCATCAAGCACCCTAAGGGCTTAACTTAAGCATCTGTGGGAGAAGGCACATTGCATCTACTGGCTCTGACATCACATCAACTTCCAATAAACCATTTATTGTCAACTTATAAGCAAATAAAAATGAACTGCCAAAGTGTACTCTAGCCATAAGCAAAATAGGTGCTCTAAGCAACCGGTCCAACCTGTCCTCCACATAAACATGCGACTTGCAGGCACAGGATGCAAACCAGTTACAATGACAGACAAGAGAAGAAGAGAAACACAAGATGGAAAGTAATCAATTTTGACATGAATCCAGTGGGTTAAAGCAGTGTATGCAATTGAAATCACACCCCACACTTTTTTGAAAGGATCATGTGATTACTTTTCATTTTAAATCTGAAATATCAATAAGTATATGTATTAAAAATCACACAAGATAACTTATTTAAACAAAATTTGTTACAAAATACAAATATATCATTATATATTACAGAGTACCTGATGTCATAAATAAACTGGTGGTTTGTGAAGAATGAATGCTTTACGATTATGAATAATAAATCAATATTAATAGAACACTATTTACAAGATGTTGTGTGAAAAAAAATCTTGAAATGCACGTAATCATTTTACCGTACAAATGTATGTAGTGAAGGTTAGAACCCCATGTTACACAGATGTGAAATCAGCTAAGAGAAACACTACCTATAACGCAAACAGGTACAAAACAATGGGCAAAAGGTCTAGTTACAAACACCAAAGAACACAAGGAGCCAACAGCACATTACTCAAGACGAAGGTAGGTTCCACATAGGTAAACACTTCAGTGGAAAAACAGGACGGCATGTATGACTGATTAACGGGATAGAGTTGGATTTTGAAGGGTGCTTCATTTTTTTAGAGGATAATAAATATCTAATGCACAACGACATTTTATGGTATAATATGATGACCTTCCTTCATTTACAAGCAAAAAAATACTATTGCATCAACCACTAATGTACAAAGAGAGAAGATTATTGTTCTAGTATTAAAATTTTAAAAACAATAATATAGGGCAACCTACAGCAGAATTCAGACACCATGCTTTAAAAAGGAAACCTCCAAATCCATTCTTTCCTTTCAAATCTCACACCAATGAAAAACCATTTCATTCATTAGGGAAGATGATCTCTGCGTTAATCGCAGTAATTCCCAAACTGTGGAACTGAACATTGCTACTTGAATATTTGCATTAGTTACTTGCAATAAATTTTCAATAAATGAATTTTATATAGAAAATAATATTTTGAAAGATAAGTTCTTTGAATTCCAGAAGGTAGTATCACACACACTGATTTAGTAACACTACCTACTTAAAGAAATTACACGTACACTAACCGTGACTATTCCTTACTTTGCAGTCAAAAGATTAGGAAAAACACTTTTATTGGCAAATGGATTTAAAAATAAAATGTGAATGACTTTACAGAATGGGAAACACTGCTGCAATTATATCTATAATGTTTTACAATGGCACATAAAACATGAAACTTCACTACAAACATGCACTAAAATTTCTACAAGAAAAAGAACACTATAGCAGAGTAGCAGTAAGGATTGGTCTGGCATTCATAATGTGTTTGATTAACAAGTAACAATTTGGAATACATGAAACATATGATTGTAAACAAATGTATGTGTGGATGATATATAAGTAATGCAATACTACTACCTAGAAGAGAGTCATCATCGCACTACGAGCTTGTTGCTCCAACACGAGACAGGCGTACTGCAAAACAGAGGAACACACTTCAGTGGCACTCTGCACTGACCTTCAGCACAATGACTGCTTGGTGCTGCCAGCAAACATGCAACCTCATTCATTTCTAGGCAGCAGCTTACACACCACAACTTTGAGGTAGTACACTGCCTGTGGCCTAGTGTTTCAAAGCATGCACCAATAATTCCATCAATTTATATTCTTACTTTCTGTCTTGAAAGAAATTAAACTTCACCTGAGGAATCTGCTTTTGTTTTTTAAAATATTTTTCATTTCAAGTTTAAGTACACTAAGCATGCTATTAAAATATTATTACAAAATGCAACACAGAAAGAGGCAAGTGAGTTTCCTAGGCAATACTCTGATGAAATCGGAAACATACAAAATGCACACTTTGCTGCAAGTCCTGAGATACACAAGATTCTGTCAGATACAATATAATTTAAAAATATTGAAATGCACGCCACAGGCAGTGTGCAGTTGCTGGTAGCACACAATCAAATGAACTATACAGATACATGCAATTACTTCAGATGTCCTCGACGTGCATTCATGTCTTGCTGTAAGAGTCACAATAAAAACACAAGGACACCTCCTCTCGGACCCACAGTAGGAAGGTTTTGAAGATTGGAATAGTTCAGGAGTAAAAGAAAACAAGAAAATAAATAAATAAATAAATAAATAAATAAAAAATCAAAGAAATTAAAAACTTGGTATATGAGCGCACGTGAATACTGATCAAAATTAAAACTGTTAATTTCAACAACATTTAATTGCTTGGGGCCTTTTTAACCTGCCAATTTACTGAAAGGCCTCCCTTAAAAGTTTTCTAGTTCAGCCACAAATGTTACAGAAAACTGTGCAAAGTGCAATGCTCAAGGGTATCGTATCGACTGGAAGTTATTTTATAAAACAATCATTGCATTAAAAAATAATAAAACTTTTAATAAGTAATATTAAAATATTCAATTAGTATTTAATTAGCACAAAAAATTAATGAAGTAAAATTTTGAAAAAATTTAAAAAGCAAAAGTAAAAATTAATCCATAAATTTTATTTAAAAAACCAAACCACAATAAAATGTCCACTTGTGGTTAATCAACAAAAAACAAATCCTAATTGGCAAAAAGACGTTAAGAAATTTACACATTATGTAATTAAGTGTTTTCCTTCCTTCCCTGTTATGCGATTCTCACAAAACAGTCAACAATAACAAGAGATACAATTTTTAAAAAACTCCACTAATAACCCAGTTTAATTTCATGAAATGGGTGAAATAAGTACACAGGTGTGTAAAGCAGCGCAAAATGGAATATAAATGGAAAGACAAAGAAGAAAAAGGAACATAAATGGATTTTGAAAATGTGAACAAATTGCTTTGATGCAACTATTGGCCCATTCAATACAAAGCTTGTACTTTATTTCTGAATTTGCTAAAAATTAATCCACCTAGGGCTAATGGTGACCACAGTGATGTTAATAAACAAAATTCTGTTAACATGAGTTCACGAAGTTACCTCTATTTACTAATAAGTTTTAATTTTTAAAAATATTACAAAAGAATGTGTGAAGCTTTGGTTTTCTTTTTCCCTCCCAAGTTAATTACAATATCTGGATACATTATTTCAATAATATTTGACAGGATGATATTAAATACAATTTCAAACAATGATTAATGAGTATTGGCGAGTAAAGGAAAACTGACGAATAGTATTTTTACAAATTGAAGAGCTTATGCCCAAACGTACATTTTCTTCATTTCCATTTCATTTCTAGTTTTACATATTAATACATTCTTAAGGTGCATGTTGCTAAATATTGTGATTAAAAAATGCACATCCCATGTGTAGTAAAAATCAGTCTCCAAAACTGTTGAATCTGATGATGAACAAGTCTGAATTTGAATACATTCCCTCCTGAAAAATTACATTCGTTTGAGAGAGATAACCTTGGCAACAAGCTCTTCAATGAACATTAAGAGTTATAAGGGCTTAAATTTCACAGAAGTCTACTCTGTGCCTTAAGAACAAGGGTCCGAGAGGCTGAGGTTACTCTCAAACACTCATGCTCATGCAGCAGCCAAGGTCTGAAAGAAACAGAGTTGATTCACACAATACACGTAAAAAGAGATCCTTCAACACAAAAACACACTGCATTAGTACTTGTTAACTAGCACATAGTTATTAACACAATAGGTAAATGTTCAGGTATAATTTAGGAAGAAAAACAGACTAGGAAAAACATCAGTATGAAATTAATTAATAACATTCTATAACAATTTTAAGCCATGTCATTTTTAATATTAAAAATTGGAAATATTCATTTTAACAAAACCAATATCTTCAAATTTTTATAATACAAAAATATACACATTCATAATAACTACATCTTCAAAAGATGTAAAATAATAGAATAAAATAAAGCCCCAATGGACATTACAAGCCATTGTCAGATTAGTTAGTAATAATAACATGGATCTGTTCACACACTTCTTTGTTAACTAATCACATTACTGAGTTACTGCAGTAGGTAATACATAAGAACAGAAGCGTGTATTAGGCACATGACAATTATTTTCTCTCCACTTAGTGGTGTGCTTATACTTCAGCATCAAATTATTCAAGTTAGAAAAGATAAGTGAAAAGTAGAAAGAAGTCACTACACAGATGAATATGGTGGTACCTTGTCCCCGCTATTACTTGATCAGACTTTTCCTGCAGAGGTTGTTAAAGAAACGGAATTGCAGGCGCAGATTTAAGTCTTTTCGTACTGTGGGTAATGAGAAACATCAGAAAATGTAAAGTTTCCTGAATGTAAAGCCAACAGTTCAGTTAGATTGCACATTGCATATTGCACAATGTATACTATATGAAGTATCTGGATCCATCAAGAACACAGCCTGTCTATGTGGGCTGAAGAAAAAAGAGGGACAGGCAGGTAGAAAGGGCTGGTGACACAGGTGCAATTTGTCACAGTGCAAAAAAAGAAAAACAAAGGTAACAGGGAGGCAGATCAACTGGATGTCTGCCCCACCACATACAAAGTAAAATTCATCACAAAGAAATAAAACAAAACACCAAGATATTCCTACTCACACTGCACCTTCAATCACTTTCTGCCGAGGATCTTAAACTTATTCTCCCCTGTGCCAAGGGCAATGTTGAACTTAGCCTTAGGGCTTATTCGACAGTCTACAGCAGGAGCAGGAAAAGGAAGACAGAAAGAGAAGAGCTATCAAAACACGCCAAACACACCTTCCACATAACAGGCACAGTTGGAATACGTTTGAATTTCAACAAGCTTTGCAATTTTCTCAATATTAGAAGAAGTTCTAATACTACAATGAACTTTTTTTGTCCAAATAACCAAATTATTTCAAAATAATTAATTAAAAATTGTTTAATGTTTAATTTCATTTTAGTGCTCATGCAGCATAAATGATCACAAAGCTTGTGGTATCAAACACAAATACAGCAAATGAAAATTAAACATTTTATTAAAAGATAAACAAATAAAATAAATTAACATAAAGAATCTACAATTAAAAGAAAACAAAACAAAACAAAAATTACACAAAATTAAAATATGCTCAACAAACACCTATTACTAAAAAGCTAAAGCTCTCAAATGTTCTCATTAATTATCCAAGACCATTTAAAAGAAAGTTCCCAATGAGAAAAAAAGAAGAAAAACTGGAATTTGAATACAATTTTTTTAAACTTCTGCTTAGAAACAAACCATGATTATATAAATTTTAAATGAAAATAACCACTAATTTTGTAGATAGAAATGTTACACAATGTGAAAATATGTAAGACTATAAGAATTTTTAATTTATTCACAACCTTTCATGAGATTCTGAAGAAATTAAAAAAATAATCATAATAAGTCAAACTAGAAAAATATTTTTTAATATCATGTGAATTTAATTGAGCCATATAAATCATTCAATTATTTTTCTCAATCTTTTCAGAATGTTACAACAAAAACAAATGATTTCAAACAACTTCATCCAGTATTAAAATTTGTAATAATTTTATTATTTCTAAGAGTGTAAATTGAATTGCCTGAAAAATATCCAAAGAAAGATCCAATGTTAAATGGCTATAATTTGAAAAAAAGAAAGAGATTGAATACAAAAAATTCAAGTATTTGTTTCATTGAATTAACATCTTGCAAATGTTTATTAAAGGAAAAACTAGAATAACTTAAAAAATAAACCTAGAAACATAGCAGCAAAGCACAATTAATCATTAATTAGCAAGGTATTAAAGCGTAATAAAGAGTAATAAAGTAAGGACTAAGAAATAACAACAAAAGAACATTACACAGAAGCACCATGGGTAGTGCAAGTTTCAGACAATACAAGTGCGTAGAACACACACACATACAAACACACATTCCCATACATACACCATAATATAAGAAAGAAAATTTAACAGTACAAATAATATCCCTATTATTTAAAAAATTCCCCTATTATTTTAAAAATTAAAAAAAATTCAAATTCTGAAACTTTTTATAAAGTTAGTGAATTTCTTCAATTTTGATAAACACATAAAATATGAATTTCAACTTTTAAACTTATGTCAGTTTCCATAGCTTTCAATTTCAATGTATAATAACATTAAAGAAAACATTTTTGGTACATTGTAGATAAAAGGTTTAGTTTTAATTCGTTTTAACAAATGCAAACTTTGAAAAACTATTGATTACATTTACAATATTAAAAGTGCAATCACACAAAAATTGTGTGGTGGCTCTTTGTATCTCTGAAATAGCATCTTTCAAAGATTACAAGTTGTAACATTATTCATACAATTTTCCCCCCATAATTTATCTTTTCTAATAAACATAAAACTAGAAAAGTTAATAAAAAAATGTTATTACATTACTGTATTTTTATACAGAGCTGTCAAACGGGTACAAATTATAAAATACATGATTAAAATTTTGGGGAACCATAGAGAATTTACAGGGCTACAATTTATATTCAGTCCTTCTTATAATCTGCATCACAACCCAAGATATTCTTACAAAATGAAGGGAAATTTTTTTTTTCTTTCCATTCCCCCCCCCCTTCTTTTTTGTTTTTTTTAAGGGTCAAAATCTATCATTATCATCTGAAAACATTTTTGAAACATCTTTATCATCTATAGAAAATCCAGAGAATAATTAAAGTCAATAATCATAGATTTAATGTGGTTTCAAAAATTAAAACAAGAAGCTAAAAAACACTTTTTATTCATTTGTTCAAAGTACTCTGGGTAAACTGATTAAAATACGATGAAAAAACCTGCTCCCCCCCACTTCAATTATGATTTTCAACATAACAAATGTGTAACCCCCAGAGGGCAGTTTTGCTTATCTTATTCTGCTACCCCCTTTGATCTTTTGCCCTGCGAATGATGACACACCGATGTTTATAGTAGTTAATACTAGGCTACAGATTATTAAAACAGTTCTGATCTAATAAAACTTATTATGAAAATGCTCAGAGTTACTTAAAGCTCTTTGATAATCTAAGTGGTTAAAATGTGCTTAAAAACAAGTGATTATCATTGGGTAGACAAGTGTAACTCACGAAGATCAGAACCTTGTTTGGAGATAAAACAAATTTATTCTGTTAAACACGTTTGAAAAAATAATATTCTTTTAAGAAAGAGGGGAGAGGTGAGGAAATGTTCCTCCAAGTTAACACTGTTCTGGGACTTGTTTCAAAAACAAAATAATTGATATTTTAGTATACCCACACTACAGGACTTCAGCAATTTCACTGATGAAAATAACAGAAAATGTAACTTAATGATGTAAACAAAGGACCTTTACAAGTTTCATTTGTATACCAATGATATAATTCTAAGTAAATATGCCTTCACATCCTCAAACAAGCAAGTTAATAACTCTAAAAAACAAGCTCCATTCATACAAACATTGAATATCATTATTACTATAATTATTATGATTACTGCTACTACTACAACTACTACTACTATTATTGTTTCTTCAAAAAGCTGACATTCACCAAATTGTCAATGAACATTAGGTTTATCAATGTTCATAGCACACACAGGAAATAGAAGAAAAGCAAAAATATGAAAGAGGAAAAGTGAAAAGGACACAAGAGGGATCAAAATATTCTCGTTCTGAGACAACCTGAAAATAAATAAATCATACAAGCCGTATATACTTGAAAAATACGCATCCCCCATTTTTTGCTTTGTTTTCTTTTTGACTCCAAAAATTCAGGTATGTGGTTTTCATATGGCAAAGCTCGAACATTGTCTCAAGAATACTTGGCCTCATTGCTCTTCTACATTTTCATTTTCTCAGAAGTGAAAGAACCCTTAGATCGATAGTCAAGTGTATTTTAAGTTTTATTTCTGACAAAGGGGATAAAAGCTACATTTAAGTTGGTTGTTTAATTTTGTTAGTACATCAGCCTCACAACTGTTAAGTTGTGAGGAAAAAGAACACATATTCATGACTAGGGCCTGGATGTCTATGACCTAAAATATTAGAAATATGAGAACATTTAGGTCATAAAAATTATGATAATATATCTTAAAAGATTTTTGGTTGCATTTTGAAAACCTTTCTGCAGTTTAAATAATTATTATATTGAAAATATACTTGTATAAAATCTAGCACATTCACAATTCATCCCTTCTCCTTTGCTGCCCCAGGAAGAGAGTTCTACCGGCTACAGTTACATACAGAAGCAGTTGACCTTGGCAACTTGACCAAACTAAACTAAACACTGCCTTTGCATCTGGTGTTTTCTATACTTTTTTCTCCTATTTAGCTAGGCCTCCCAATTCACATACATATACATTTATAGGAAAGACAGACAACAATTAGATACAAAAATTGTCAATAATTAGATTAGTTAGAAAATGTGAAAAATCTCCGAGATTACTGCAAGCAAGAATGCAAAAAGTGAAAACAAAAAGATAAAAATATGACAAAAAGTACAAAAAGATCATGGAAAAATAGGACTATAATATGACGGAAATTTCACAAAGGGAGGGGGGATAAAAGAAGAAAAAAAAGACGGAAAAAAAAAACAGTTATAAACACCCGCACCCTATTCATGATTTATGTATCGTTATTTACTTCACATTCTTTAGGATTATAATGTACATAATTAATCAAAGAGTATTCCTAAGAACTTCCTAGAATATTCGCCGACCACAGGTTGAAGAAACAATTTTTGGGTTAATATTAAAAATCTCCAGAACATGCAATCGATTCAATTGGTAAAATACTTTTAATAACTTAAATTATTTAAAACTAATAAAATTCGCTTTTTTTCAATGCTAAAACAATCCTGAATTTTGTGATAATAATGTGCAATCCACGAAGCATCTCATCCTTTCTATTTATAATACATCAAAGAAAAAATGTAAGTTTTGAATCTCTTATGACACCATGGACACAAAAATCTGTCTCTCACAGTTATTCAGGGAATTAACAAACAGGAATGCATGAAACATATTTTAAGAAAACTAGAGAGTGATACAACAGATATGATCTCACTATATTGGGAATGGTTTTCTAATATTGCAATTTCTGCCCTCAGTTCAGCCATCACGTGGAAAAGTCCAAACAAATTCAACCAAAACCCTGTGTTCTGACTTTAATTTAAATGAATGTACCATTTTATTGAACGTACAGACATTGTAACATCTATTGACAAGCTAGAAAGTGTCCAGCAGAAGTTACTGTGATATCTTGCTTATCGAAATAACTAACACACCCATCCACAGACTTTATCACAACTACTACGATCTTTATAAATTGTTTACACTTTATACCTTAGTGACAGAAGAATTATATGCGACCTCATTTTTTGCAGAAAATAGTGTTCGGTTACGTAGACAATGCAATTTTTTATAAAAACCTTTCACTTTTTTTCTGCATAAAGCTACTAGAAAAAGTCAAAACTTTGTAGAATGTTGTAAAACTGATTATGGTGGGAATGATACATTCAACAGACTTTATCTTCGGCAAACAAGTATGACAACCAAATAGACTCTCTCACAACTTCTAGTTCAAGCTTTAGAAAACTTGTGAATAATATTGTATTTGATCACTAATCTGAATTAATAGCCTACAACTATTTCTTTTCTTTACTTATATTTTGTTATTTTCATTTCATATATACTTCAAGCAATGTATTCTACAATCCACACATTTATATTGTAATTACTGTATTAAAGGGAATCCCCGTACAATAAATAAATAAATGAAATATCCAATAATGTAGTTTTAAGAGGGAGCCCAATACTTTTAAACTTTTGCAATTTTTGAAAATTCAGAGTTTACAGGACAACATCGCTAGCCAGAATGCTTAATTACAGTCTGCGAAGTCATATAGATTAAGTGACTCGAGACATTGCGAGTTCCAGGATGGCTGACCCATCCGGGAACCTCAGAAATCTAACGGCACTAAGCCCCTGGTAAAAGAGACAAAAGATTTACTACAAGTGACTATGTTAACGGATGTTCAATGCCATTTCGTGGTTATAGAGAACATTGATACATTGATAGAATAGATTTTATAGAATAACACAACAGATTTTGTATTTTAAAACAGATGAAAATCCCAAAAAGCTAAATCTAGGCCAGGGCAGTCAATTCTTTGAAGATAAAAGTATCATGTATAATTATTATTGTAATAATGAATATAAAAGTTTGGTGAATAAATGCAATTTAGGAATTAAGCATTCAGCATCCTTGCTGCTTAGTACCATCTTCAAGAAATCTAATTCTCTGGATTCTGTTAGATTTCTTTATTTCACAACCTCACAAATTTAATGTCTATTGACAATCAATTTTCATCACATTAATGTACAGCAGATTTAAAACCAAATAGTTACATAAAGTTTCGGGAATGTATTTTCTTTCCTTCCTCAGGTGTCTTAAATAAAAAAGTAATAAAAAAATGTTTAAAAAGAAAAGAAAAAGAAAAGGGAGCGAAAGCAAAATGCAATCATGAAACATTGTGTAACTTCAAAGGTTTTGAACTTGGGTACCTGAGATTTTAAAACTCCTACATATTCATGTGATGAATGTCTATAAACATAAGGATGTGAAATAAAGAAATCACTTCGAGGAAATGTATACATTAATCTTACTCGTCTGCGTGTGGGACACCAGTCATTGACATTGGAGGAAGAAAACATTATGACAGGCACAACCATGAATTTGTCTCACAAATCCAAGGCTGATGACCTGTGTAAAGTAAATGCCAATACCAATTATCATGATTTTATTTTGACAATGATGAAAATATTGCAAATTGTGTGTTTCCATTGTAACATTACTTCAAACAGATTACAGTTTTGGAGTAAATTATCACACAGGTTAAACTGTTTCAAAATAAAATAAAATTAAGACAAATTTTTCCCCAATTTACCTTCCTAAAAATATGGCTGTGCGTATAATTAGAGTATATACGGCAATCATCACAATATAAATGCACATTGTACTGCAAAACACACCAAACAAGGTACTCTTCAAACTTCAAAATATTCTATTTGCAAGAGAAGAAGTGTTACACAATTTTTAAATTCTTCAAATAAACCAAGTTGCAGGAAATCACAAAAAGAAATTAAAGGTGTAGAAGAAAACAAAAATTGATAAGTAAAACTCCAACTCAGCTTTCAAGAACCATTAAATTATAATGACAAGGCATGAGATCTCTCTTGTCTATGAGCTAGTAAAAAAAATAAAGAACTATTAAATAATATAAATGAAAAGTAGGGCGAATAATTATTTTTTTAAAACTAACACTGTTTGTTTGCTTAAAAAATATCTATAAAGCACTTTTTCTAAATGTATCCTACATTTAATAGAGCTTAAATAATACTGGCTTCAATGTTTTTGGGAAGTATTACAGCAAATAATTATATTAAAAATAATTTATTGTTAAATTTGAATTTTATATCTTGAGCTTTTGACTTTGACATGTCAAAAGCTAAAGTTAATAAGATTATATAAATCTGGAGTAACTATCACTTAAATGTTATTAAAATAAGATTTAGTATTTTGTAAACTTTAAGAAATGTAACAGAAATAATACAATTATTTTGAGTTGAATTATAAAGAAAATCTTTATTTTAAATTTATGGAAAATGTATTAATATTAGTGTTAAGAAGACATGTGTATATTTATTCTTTAAATAGGTGTGTAAATATTTATACACCACCTATTTTAGTAATAGTATTAACTTTGTCTTTGTTACAAATTATAATAATAAGTTAATATATTGCATTTTTAAATTGTTAACTGTGTACTTTGTTCATTATTTTATATATGTATTTTAATTACTAAAATGATGGGGGGGGGAAGGAGAGTTAAAAAAAAAAAAAGGCAGAGTGTGGGAAATGTGATGAAATTACATTTATCTCCTCCACCTAAATTAAACCTATAAAAATTAATAAAACTGTAACAGAAAACCTTAATTCCACAAAAGGTTTTGTTTCAAATTGGTGGTAAATAAACATCCAACTTCAATCAATTATTTAAATTTTCATCTTTATAATTAAAACAACAAAATTGAATAAGTAAATTCCAAAAAAGATGTACAACATTTTAGAGAGTTGTTAGGTAGGTCTACCCTAGAGAAAACTAGAAAATTTGTGAACCAATTCACAATTCCTTCATTAAGTTCACAATTTCATATCTTTCATCCCGCTCTGTACATAAAAAGACACTGCTTTATTACCCAGCAAAAATTATACTCCAAGCAAAATATGTTTTCCTAAATGAAGAAAAAACATATGAGTACACCTTAAGACTTTTTCTTGTATTAGTTACAAAGGCTACTGCTTTTGCCTTTTCTAGACTTGTACAGCATGTCATGTTTACTGTTTGGAAATTACAAAGATTGTTACTCCACAGAGTCTATGCTAAGGGTTGGGTAGAGAATTGCATCTCCCTATTCTCCAGATTCTCTGCACGATGCATCCACAGCTTTAATAAATATTCCAGAAAGTACCAAATGGAATGATTAAAAAAATTAAAAAATACTCTACATTAATCTTGATCTTCTGAACACACTGCTCTGGCCTATGCTTTCATTAGGAAACAACCGCACTGTATGTTAATATTTCAGGTGATTAATTTCAAAACAATATAAAATATCAATAATATAAATATAACATAAACATTTAAATCATATTTCATTCACTGAAAAAGGCTCAGTATTATACAAAGAAAACAACACTTTCATAAACAACTCCAAAACAAAGCCAACCCAAAAAGGAAGCGCGATTAGAATTGGACACTAAATCCATAATCTGCTCATCTTGACCACACACTAAGGAAATTTCTCTCAAGACATAAGTTATCAAGTAGAAAAACTGCCTTAAAGCTGCTTTTCTTGAGGCATCTGCAAACAAAAGTATGGGCACAAAGTTGTGCCAAATAATACTAACACAATGAATTTGTACAATTGGAAAGTGAAACTCAAAATGTCCATTTTTTTTCAAATCAATAAGTATATTTTATCTACATTTGGTCTGCCTAAAAAATTAAAGGACCCTCAAACCAACTCTAAAAAACAACAGCTTTATTTTAATTATTATTAGTTCATTAATTATTGAAGTCATTAAGTCGAGGAGTTAGGGTACACTTAATTATTGATTATTTCCATTCAACTTTCTCATGTTTTACTTGCATATTCTAGAGAAAGTATTGGAATGCTGCATCAAAAAGTGCTATTCTTCAATTGAAACAAAGTTTTGTGGGCCCCTGATACCGAAAAGGTGGATAATTTTTGCTACAATATATAGTACAACTTTCTCAAAAACCGAGTGCAGTTAATTGTTGGGCCTTGATAAAGCAAAATTGGTTTTTGGAAGAATTTTCACCAAAATGGATTTTTCCAGATTCATATGGCTGATGTCTTCTGGTCCCTTGAATTTGAAAGGGATATTTCAATTTTTGTGCTTTCCACAAAGTCCCACATAGTATTAACCCAAGGTTAAATACAGAAAAATACGAATGCAAAGTAGATGGAGCCATTGAAATGTAGATGAAAATGTAGAATGTTAAAACGTGCCTGCCTCTGTGAAATTTGTAACACTTGGAGGGCTAGTCTGCAGTAGCCTTGCATAATGTTTGGTAGCTACTCAACAGGCATCTGTGTATCTCACAGGTATCCATGTATGCTTTTTGGACTTTGTGAATTTCACTTATTTACTGACAATACACTATCTCTCTGTAAATTACACACAATACATACATACATATGAACACACACACACATACATACACACACACACACACACACACACATACACATACATACACATACATACACACACATACATACACATACATACATACACATACATACACACACACACATATACATACACACACACATATACATACACACACACACATATACATACACACACACACATATACATACACACACACACATACACACACACATACATACATATATATTTAAAATTTCTCATTTTTCAAAGTGCAGGGTAAACTCATAATTAATCTCATGAACTTTCATTCATAATGAAGCTAATTTATATGGAGAGTATGCCAAAAGCAAAGGATGTTCCAAACTCCTTTGTTACAAGAAGTTTTTCATTATAAATGTTCATTACAGAGAGTTACTATCAATTTATTGCACAGCTGCACTGACTAGATAACAAATATTCCTTTAAATTTAAGGAAATTAACATTTCAGAATGTCAAAGAAATGGTTTGATTGTGATTATTTCAGAAAAATTCAATACTTACTCCTATCAATGTTGCGCTGCAGGTGCATTGCAACACGATGACGAGCATCATTATACTCCAGATGTAAACCCAGTCGCAGTAATGTTGGATTCTGCTCAACCAAAGTGGTAATCTCCATTTCAATTTTATTGCCTAGCACCTGTGACCTCTGAAAAATTATAATCATATGACAATGTATACTTATTTATTTACTTTACAAACAAATATTTAACTCAAATAATGAACAAATTACAAAACAAGACTATAAATATGACAAAATAAAATATTACAACTATAATAATACTATAAACAAACATGAAATGCATGTATTTCTGAAAATGATTGCTAGAATATAACAACCACTCAATTAAGCTATTCAGCAATTTAAACCAATTCCATGTTTTAAGTACCTAATTCTTTACTCAAAAAGATTTCAGTTCCTATCACAATTTTAATTTCAGGAGGGCAGATTCATACATTTGATGAAAGACATAATCTATGCCTATTACTTCTAAATTATATGTAGTTATGAAATAGCACATTCTAGTCAGAAGGTTATTAGCCCAATCAAATTATACAAATCGAGTAAAAAAATTCTGTGGTATCGAAATTTGGCATGAATGTTTATTAGTAACTATTGCGTATTATACTCACCATTATTCCCCCTGAGATGGGGTGGTTTCTCTACATTTTTTGCTTATATCTTCAAAACTATTTTAATCCTATTGAAACTTACACTCTATACAAAATTCAAACAGGCCAGATTCCTATAAAGTTTTGCTGAAAAATTCACCTTCTTAAAATTGTAGGCTTGAAATTTTATTGTTTTTATTTACAAGGGTCTTTTTTAATATCTCTCTAATAAATTTTATGTTATGATATGTTCAATGCATGTAAGTAATTTTATTTTTGTTCTACATCAACACTATTTGCATATTTTGTAGAAAAAATTAGCATTTTATGTCTTATCAAATATTATTTTGAATATACTTGCGAGTATCCCAGTTTATTGAGTTTGTGATTACCTAGGGCACAAAAACTGATTATCCATAGTTTATTTGATAAGGATAAGTATAAATATTTCATGAAGGATTGTGTACAGTATCAACATATTAATTACATAAAATGAGTACGAGTACAAATATTGTAAATAGAATTAGGTCCTACAATCGCACATGCTTTCTCGCATTATTTCAGAGTTCAACAAGCCCAAAAGCTCTACTGATTTCCCATCAACACTGCCAGACACTGCTTTGAAATGCTCTTCCGAGTCAGTTTGTGTTTGACATCAACGAGCTAGAATATACTTGATACCCGCTAGATACAATGGCTGTCCCTATAGTTTCAGTGCTCTCAGTGAAGGCTCACCAAACTAGTGGTCGCCTTGTTTTTTGAAGTCAAAACGGGGCAGTGTAACAGTCCTTAACCAGTGCCAAACGTAATGCTATACTGCGATTTTGAACCTCTACCCTTGGTAGATTTTACCTGTTGATAGTTTTATCCAACCGGGAGCTTAAATGTCACCATAGTGACGCTCAAGCTCCCGATTGGATGAAACCGTGAACAGCTGAGACCTGCCAGGGGCAGGGTTGGATAAATCGCACAATAGAATACTTTGTTTCCCAGAGAGCACTGCTTTGACTGGAAAAACAACAACTCAATTTGCTCCAAATATGGAGGCGCTTCAGCCTCTATCTATATATATATAAAAGAAAGTCGTGTTAGTTACTCCACTTATAACTCAAGAACGGCTGAAACCGATTTAGCTGAAAATTGGCAGGGAGTTAGTTTAGAGCCAGAGAAAGGACATAGGATACTTTTTTATCCGTTCGACAGCATTCCCGTGTGACTGACATGAAAACGTCAGTCACTATAAACGTGTATAACAAAAAAGAATCAGACTTGGAATAACAAAACGCAAAATGACAGCTATGTAATTGACGTATAATGACAGATATGTAATGACGTATGGATGACAATTTGATATTTGTAAGAAAAATAAAAAAATAAATAAATATATAAAAAAAACGCATAAAACATGCATTAGAAGCACTTAACCGAACATTAAAAGATTTACGCAATGACTCGAGATGTTTTTGGAGGAGCATGATTTTACTGTCTGGCGATTTCCCAAATACTGCCAGTAATTCCAAGATCTACGGCTGCCGACGAAATAAACGCTTGCCTCAAATCGTCAAATCTATGGCGCTATGTGAAGAAACTGCAACTGACAACAAACATGAGAGTTACATTGCTTAATGATACATCTGCTGAAGATTTCTCGGAGCAATTGCTGACTATCGGTAATGGTCAAGATACCAGTCGATGAATCGAGCGGATTAATATCATTTCCAAATAATTTCTGTAATTTTGTCTCATCAAAAGACGAACTTATCAACAATGTATTTCCGAAATTATTTCTTAACTACAAAAATAATGAATGGTTGAGTGAGCGAGCAATTTTAGCTAAGAATAAAGATGTAGATGACCTAAACTACATAATTCAAAATAAGATCATTGGAACAATGCATTCATTCAAATCTATTGACTGCGTCACAAATGAAGATGAAGCCACCAACTATCCAATTGAATTTTTTAAACTCTTTGGACGTGTCTGGCTAACCACCGCACAATTTACGCCTAAAGGGTGGCTCCGTAGTAATCATGCTTCGAAACATAAACCAACCAAAACTGTGCAACGGTACGCGTTTGGTGGTTTAAAAATTGATGAACAATGTAATTTACGCTACGATAATGATAGGAAATTCAAAGGTGAGGAAGTTCTCATTCCGAGGATACGATGATCCCAACCGATATGTGGTTTGAATTTAAAAGACTTCAATTTCCGATACGTCTTGCATTTGCCATGACCATCAACAAATCACAAGGCCAATCCTTAAAAGTTTGTGGTTTAAATCTAGAACATTCATGTTTTTCCCATGGTCAATTATACGTGGCATGTTCACGGGTCGGAAGACCATCTGCGTTGTTTGTTTTTGCGCCTGATAATAAAAAAAAAATGTCGTGTACACAAGGTACTTAAATGAAGAGCAACCTATGAACTAAAATCAGAAATAATTATGAATGATTAATGTAGGTATTTAATTTTTTGTATTTTTTTCCAATTTAATAAAAACTGCTTATTTATTGCCATTAAGGCGGAACAAAGTTCGCCGGGTCAGCTAGTATGTAATATATTCTAGCTCGTTGGTTGACATTGAGCAAACGCGGCAGCCATCTCGCGCACTGCTTTTTCATGACCAGTTTCTCGTGCGAGATAAAGTGCACTCATTTGCTTGAGGTGACCAGACAACAGTATCAGCTGCCTGGCACACATTCACTACGCGATCTTCCATTACCAGATCGTAAACTTTATTTGGTAGTTTTCGTTGTGGTGACCGCAACTAGTCGGCTGGAGCGCGCTTCATCATTCTTGTGCTTCTGTGCCCACGTAGGAACTCATTAATCCAGAAGTAAATCGTCTTCGATGATGGAGCAGAGGCCCCATGTACTATACGCACAAGTCTTCTTGATATTCCACAGCGGGGGGTGCAGGGAGAGGAGGACTCAGCTACGTCACGGTTTAAAAAGACGTACCAACTGTGGGCATGAACTGAACTCGCCAAAGAGTCCCACGATAAATGCTACGATTGTTTTGAAAGTACGAGGTGATTGTTGCCGGCATTATAAAAATCGGTACGTGCCGTTCCGAGTCGAACTTGTGTATCTCAACGTGCCGTGCTATCCAGCGCTGGTTGAGTACTAGGGAGCTCGTGTATCAACAAAACTTGTGCGATTAGTACTTCATCCAAGGTGTAGATCTGCGCTGCAGTCTAACCCTTCAAATAATGTTTAATCACAGCACAAACCATTTTCCCCTATCTACCGCCGCACGTCAAATCCGCATGTTCAGTAGGTTGCCAACAAATAACTACGCGTCGCACGTGCTTGAAAATTCAAACAATTGCCTAACAAAAATGATGCTTTCTAACAATGTCGATGTTTAACAGCAAGTCGTGCTCTTTCATAGACTCCCGCCGTAACGTCACGGCTACGACAGCCATTTGCAGTGTTTCCTCTCCGAGTACTCAGTGGAGATTCGTAGGATACCAAGTTGTATCTTGAAGGATTTCTCCTAGGCACCAGGATGACCGTCCACCTTGCCGAGGTTGAAAGCGTTTCGAGCATCTAGTACATAAAACCATACTATTTTGCGGGAGTGTTTGTTCTCTTTCCGCGTGCCTTAAACGGTTTCCACTTCAATTGTGGCTGCCTCTCTTTAAACTGTTAGATATGTCGGTTAGATCACCAGCACGAATAGCCAACAGCAGACGTGGTTTCAATAACGTTTCAAACAACTTCCCGGCCATGTCGAACCGAGGGGTCTGTAGGGCGACGGTAGACGTGCTTACCCGTATCCACGAGAACCAATTGCTATTTCTTCCGTCACTTAGGGAAGATTCTATCTAATAGCATTGTACATACAAGATTCTGGCATTCTCGCGGCACTGTTCAAGACTTCCGCAGGGATGTCCATCAAGTCTCGGGGCTTTCATGATGCGCAGGCTCTGACATTTGACACAGGGGAATGCCGGAGTCGTACCGTAACAAACGGGCCACGGACCGCACGCTATCTTTCCTTCCTCTTCCTTGTAGCCTCACCCCTCACTTACATTTAAACTTGTATGCACTACATTACCACCCGAATTAGGAGACCAGTGGGATCTAAGAGATTGTCCCGTTTGGGAAAGTGTCCCGATTGGGAGGCTATTTCATTAAAATGTCGTTCCTTGACGAGACCGATGTCGACAATACCTTCGGGTTGCCCGGAGGTTTTATGGGTGCTTGGGGAATAACGCGACCACAATCCGTCGCAAGGAATCGGTATCAAGGTTTCCCTCCCGTGCTTGTTTCCTTTCTTCTTGGGCCACTCTCGCAGCCGTCCCGAAGGATCTCCTGTCTCCTTCGCCAATAAGGGCCTTCTATCAATGGGATTAGCTCAGGTCGATCGCCCTTCTCAACGCCTTCCCCTCCGTATTTTGGGCAGACAGCAGCGCAGCTTCAGATCTCGTCTCGCTCTCTGAGCCTCCGCCAGTTTCTCTTCGGTCCACCAATCCGCCTGCCGTTCTGGGTTTGTGCTTCGTTGGGCATCGAGTCGTCACAAGCCTCCAAGAGAACACTTTCGGACCTTGATACCCAGCGTCGACATTCAGCTAGCGCTGGGTTATTCTCACTGTCTGTTGCAGCTCCTTCTATAAATTTAAGCTGGTCCAGCTGGTTGACGTTTCAGCCCAGTTTCCTCACTTCGATTTTCAGCAGACTGAGATGTCCCGTCGTCCTCAGGCAGAATGATGAATTAATGATAGCTGCCTCTGTAGCAGGGTGGAATGAAAAACAGTTTTCCTTTAATGAACTCATTTCATTTATTTTACTGATTTAAAATAATTATTATGTTATATTCTCAACTAATGGTAGAAGTACCGTCAGTAGCCAAATGTCGACAGCCTGCCTTCGTACATGTTCTGCTTGCCTAGGGTCTGTCTGATAACCGAGGTTAAGGAAGTATAAGAGTCCACGAGGCCGTAGGATGGGAACGCTGCGGAACCCCAGTTGTTATCTGTGTGAAGGAATAGAAAGAAAGTATTTCCTTTCACGTTTCGCTTAATTATTTTCCCAATAATGTGTTAAGTAAATATTACTCAATGTATTATTCAACGCAACGATTCATTTAGTTATCTCCACAAGGTGCCATTCGTCACGGGTTCGAATGTTTAGTGAACATTACTAGAAGTGCATTAATGTCTTTAAATAAACAGCAGTTTCGTGAACGTGACTACTAATAAGCACTTTGTTCTTCCAAAATCTACATGATTAATTGTATGAACTAAACATTTCTCTTCGTGTATGCAGACGTGTATTCGCTTCTCGGCAAGTGTTAATGTTTTGAGATTTCGTTTATCTGTCTTGCTCGAAGTGCCACGTGCGTAGTAAGGTGCGGCAACTGCGCATCGAACTGTCGCTTATAAGCTGCCGGAACCGAAGTAGTGAGGCCTCTGGGCTGCTCCAATGCGTCGGAGGTCCCGCTGCCTCTCGCCTCGCGCCGGAGGGGGTGTCGTTGCACTCGCAGCCGCTTGAGGGCGTTGGCGGCGCGCTGTTCCCGAAACCTACTTTCCTGGCAGTATTGTACCATCCTCGGCGGTGTTGTACCGCCGAAAACATCGAAAAAAGGGTAAGCTAACACACATTTCATTCGGTCCGTGCAGACCAGGTCTACAAACTCCCAATAACGTCATTAAAAAACTTCATGGTAGAATAGAGCCCTGGAATATGGTATTCCCCTGTCATAGAGCCGACTAACAAGAGTAGCTGCCAGGTGGCTCTATATTTACAAGTCGATCCGTCTTTCACCGCTCCGACTTCGTTCCAGTTCAGGCCAGGGGCTCTGGTGAAAGCTGGAAAAAGCGCACGGAACGGACGAGCTGCTAGGGCGTCACGCACGTCGCTGGTGGCAAGGCGGTGCAGTGGGGAGATGGTACAAAGCCCCGGTCGCTCGGACCCACACTATTGTACGATTTTAGTCGAGCGCTTAACGTAAATCAGCTGTCGCTACAGTGACATCACTATGGGGACGTTGAAACTCCCGGTTGGATGAAACCATGAACAGCTGATTTACGTCAAGTGCACGGTTAAATAAATCTAGTATAGTGATGCGTCTTCGACAACAGAACATCGATGTCACAAGCGAGTTTGCGCACCCTCGAGTGTTAAACCACTATCGATCTTCTGCGCACGCACAGTTCAAGTTGCACATCACTTTAGTGCATAAGCGCATCCGCAGAAGTTCGATAGTGCTGTCCGCCATGGTGTGCTCCTTAATAACACATCGTCCAAGAACCATCGCTGTCCGGAAGTTGGTTCAATAACCTCTAACGTTGAATTGGTGCGCAACAAATTTTAATTTGAAAGTAGCACCCCATATCTTTGGCAACCGCATCGTCAACGAGGGGTTGAGACACTCCGTAAGTTCTTGCAGGCTCTGAGGGTTTGGATTAAGGTGTGAAGACGGGGTTATGGCTCAGGGATGGGAGGAGCTTCCCCTTTAGACTCTTGTCCGGTGAAAAATGCACAATTGACATGACAAATCAAACAATTCGAGACGGTGTGCAGGGTACCATCAGCCAGCACGTACATGGCCACCCCCAAACACAATCCGCAGATTACAGGAGCGCGCCTTCCCAGAAATCAATATAGGGGTAGTGATGTCAACCGACCTTTGCTTGAACACTATTGGGAAAATGCTCGTCTCGTACGCGTAAGCGAGCTCTTAAAAATACTGCCGCATAGGGGCCCGAACAGCAGTCAGAGTGAGGGCCAGGCACCACCTCCGTCGCCTGCTGGTGGCGGAGAAGAGCCACGCCTCCAGCAGGAGCCCCCCCCCCCCTCCACCAGCCACCCCTCCGCAGGGAGGAGGACGCCCTTTAAGAAGACGCCCAGCACCGGCGGACCCTCTCGTGTAAACTGACCGAGCGGAAGTTGTGATAGTTGTAGTACGTTATACTGTGTCTGACATTGTTGGCATTGTTAAGCATCTCCTATATATTGTGACGAATTTAAAGGCATCATTCCTTTGGTTTTTTTGGTGTAATAAAATTGTGTTTCAGATCTTATATCCTGAGTTTCATTTAGCACACAACTCTCCTACACTGTGATGTTTGGTTAAGAGAGATCTAGAGAGACGTCTGCTGAGCAGAGAAAATTGAGCTTCATGCGCAAAACCAAAGATATACAGAAATTATTATTCTAGACATTTGGATGAGAAATTCATTGTCACTTTTTACAGAAATTTGCCCACGGATAATACTATCACATTTTTTCTAGTGAGACAGCAAGATGAAATTGTCTCGAGAACCCTTCTCAGAAATGTTCTCTGGTAGAGATTGACATAATGTTTCATCAGCTTCTCGTAGTATGACAAAATAAATTTTGTAATATAAGCGTCATTGAGAGCCGGAGTTGTTTTTCCACAGTTTACAGTACAAATACAATTGAATTGTTCACGGTTTTTAATTTTAAGCTTTGACAAGGTATAGCTTGTTTAAACAAAGCATTAGCAAATGTATATATAAAAAAAAAAAAAAAAAAGCTTAGGTTTTTTCGATTCCCAAGGTCATGTTATTTACTCAAAAAATTATTTTGAATACAATCAGAAACCATTCAACTCTATTCATATATTTTGGAATTATTGCCATGCCACCACAGCCTGTGTTTACTTTTTTATGAACCACTGCACGAGATAAATGCTGTGTTCAGTTTTCTTTCTGACTAGTATTTACATACATGTCCTGAAAACCCTTTTCTCAACAGATATTCTGAAAGGCCATTTTGTACAACAACAACAGTTTACATTAGCTCACAAAATATCGTACTGCAATCTCCCCATAAAATAACGAGTGAGTGCATGTGACTTGCAGCTGACACACTTCCCTTCAATACAAGGTTTGTTCACATTCCTTATGAAATGTTCCACGGCACTGTCATTTAAAATATAATTATTGCATAGGTAAAGAAACTAACAAGTGCAGTAATTTTATTCATGATGCAGCTTCTTGACAGTTTAATAATACTTCTTAACTTGGAAAAAAGAATTGTGCAAATGTTTTAAAGTTTTATCTTCACTTACCTGATTGGAGGCCCGGAATTCCTCAATTGTTTTAGTACCCAACAAGGATTTTATCAGGCGAACTATTACAGGAGGACTGATGAAGTTGGTCTCCACACTGAAATAAACATTGTATTAATTAACTTATAATACAATTACTTGATAACAAATTTATGACGAACGACACTCAAAGCAAATGAATAATACACAAATATCTCATTATCGTCGTAAAATATAGAAATCAAGAATATTCATATAAGATGGCAGGAATTGTCCTCTATACATTTCTACGCTAGCTGTCTAGAAAGTAATTATTTCATACAGATTTTCTCAAATCAAAAACTATCGCTACATTTGTGATAGTTGCGGGACAAATTAATCCAGACTTTCTGGTATGTTTACATTTTTTTATGGAGGTAACTGTGCAAAACTTCAATAAGACAAGCCCACACTCCTCAGCCAGTGTGAGATTTTTTCTAACAAACTCCAAACCAATTACGGTCACCCATGCAATTATGCATTACTTCAAGAGGTGCCAGCTATGTTATGTTGACATACTATTTAAGTTCAATTAGGACTTCTGTTTCTTTCATCTACCTTCTATTTCTTGAAAGTGGGGGTTATGTATATCTCTCTATTGCTATCCACTTTGTGTTATAAATCATTAGTCACCAGGTTGCTCCCTCGGGCAGTGGAACAGGGCATGTTCGGTGTCGTCTAGTTTGTGGCTGCAGTAGAAGCATTCTGCATCTTCGGTCTTCTTCAATCTCAACATATCCTGTAAACGCCTGGGTTAAATGGTAAGTTACAGACCCATGTTTGTGACTGGTCCATTTTGATGTTTGGTACGAGCCTGCAAGTCTCTTTGCCTGTCTTTGGCAAAGCACTTCTTCCAGCACTGCCTCACATTTTCTTTGGCTTTTAATTGCGCTTTCCCGATTTTGAATTGTTCTCTGTCCTTTGCCCTCTTGCTTTATGGAGAAATGACTAACTTCTTTCCATTCTAGAGCACACAGGTCAATGGGTGGAACATTCACAAGCACTAGAACAGCACTTCTAGGTACAGTTCTACATGCCGATGTTTTGCATAGGGCTCCTTTCCTCTACATTTTCCTCCAATTTATTCTTGGTTTTTCTGCAAAACTCTACAAAATATATCACTCTGGTTTTGAGAACGCAAACAGTTTTTTCTATCCCATACCAATTTTTAACAATTACTACTTTTATGCTCAATGTATTGGACATATTTATGCTACTTTTTATAGACTTCTGAAACGTATAAAATCTGTTCTCTTACATAATGGGAACAAATATTCATCAGTTACAATTGCCCCTTCAGTTCTATTTCCAAGAGAAGCGCTGTTGCACTTTTAGTGTGGCGCAAGTTATGGTCATCATTTCCAGATCTCAAACTTTTAAGTATCTCCTTGTTCTTTGTGTGATGTCCACATTAATAGCTGGTGATAACTAAGTAATTTTAATGACTGTCCATTACCTTGTGTATTGTTTAGTAACGAATGGTATACACAGACTTTTATTGTGCTAAATTTTTTATTTATAATGCAATTAATACATCTGTGTTTACTTGGCTGTGCCTTACAATCTAACATTTTGTGGCTCTCTGCACAATGATGGTAAACTAATGCATTTGTAGTCTTTATGCCTACGTGTGTTGTCTTTTCCACGTTCTCAACAGTAATATTATTTGAAATGTTATACAGGGACTCCCTACACAATTCGTACACGGGAAATTTAGCAGAATAATCACGGATCAGGAATATTAAAAGAAGAAAATAAATGTAATAAAGTATATTCTATGATCCCAATAATCAAGTAATATTTTTAAATTTTAATATTTTATGCTGAAAAGTTAACTCACTAAACTATTCCGACCCTTAAATGCAAATATAAACAAATATGCACAGTAATGAATGTTCAAACCGAAAACATGTAAAACAATTAACAGGAAGAGAGCTTATAGCCATCTCCTTTTGCTGCAGCACTTCTTCCAGTATAAGGAGAAATAGTTCTCCATTCTTGTTGCATAATTTTCGTTAATTTTTGTTTGGAATGAATTGGCTATTTTCTTATCTCATTTTCCAATTTTTCCCAAAGACGTTCAATAACAGTAAAGTCTGGTGACTGAGGGGGATGGCTGAAGTACCTTTCGGCAGTTGTTCAGCAGCAAAAGTCGAACAACCTGTGACTTGGATCATTATCCTGATAAAAATAAGTACTATCAAGAATATCAAGATTTCCAGCACTTTGTTTTTTTATATTTTGTTTAAGAATGCCAAGATAGTTGAACCTGTTCATTGTTTGCCCTATAAACACAAGTTCACAGCTACCATTGACTGACATGCAGCTCCACACCATTACATTTCCACCTCCGTGCCTCACTGTTGCTTACTTAATTTGGTCTCCTGTACATTTGAATTCTTCCATCGGATCCAAAGATGTTCATTTTCGATCTGTCAGCAAAAATTACTCTATTGCACCAATCTTCAACTTTTTCATGTTATATAGCAAATCCCTACCTTTTCTATCAGTTCGCTTTACTTATAAATTATTTCTTCTGGCAACTCCGCTATGGAAATTGAACCTCCTTACTTCCCTCCGAACACTTTTGGGATTTTTCTTTCCAATGTCAATTTCTAACTGTGGAGTAGTTTTTGGTGCATGAATATGAGGATCCTTCTTTATTATTCTGACTATTAGGTTCTATTCTCGAACAGAAAATGTCTTTGGGCGTCGTCCTACTGCTTGCAGTCCAAACATCTCTTTATTGATGTACTGTGAGATTACATCACTCACTGTGCTATCTTCATTAATTACATTTTGCAAATTTTTTTTGGCATCATTTTTCCTTTGCATATTGATAAATAACAAGCTCACATTGCTCAAAAGTGGTATTCTTTTCCTCTGCAAATCATTTTGCTCAACTGATAAGGTTCCCATGAATCTGGTTTAATGACTGACAGGTGACCTTGAATGTGCAGCAAGGATTGAAGGTTTCAATGTTCTTTTCAGAGCTCAAAACATCTGTTATGTCGCCCCAACAGCTCTCTGAATAGTTTTGTTACCGTAAAGTCTCTGCATCAGCAATTCATTTTTTCTCTAATCAAACAAATACATAGTTTTGAATGTATTTATAATGTTTACATATATAATAACATTTTCTTCTTTCAAATTTGTACGTTAACTAATGATTATCTGGTTTTCCGAGTAAAATTTAAGTAATTTTTGGTTATATTAATAAATGTCCACATAAATTTGTGAGCCACTGTGTATAATCAACCTAATAAATAACTTGTATTCCCTAAGTTTCTTAATATTGATTAACTTTGACTTCCACTTGTTCCTAGTATTCCCTACAGATATTTGTACACAGATTTCCAACTTCCATCTGACTCCCAGCTTCAATTACAACCTTGATTGAGGACATTAATTTTGAAGAAAACCATCTGAAAAGATTAGCTGCAGACATTGATCACAGAAAGATAGAGATGTTTTTACAATAAATTATTTTTTGGTATTAATGACCTATAAAACTACACAATGTGATTGAGGTGATTGATCTACTACACACAGGACCACAATTAATCCAATGGTTCATTACCCACCAATAAGAGTTTGTTTTTTGATGGGTTTTTTTTCTTTTTTCTTGCAGCATTACAATACTTTCTTTACACTGTGTAAGCAACATGTAAGTAAAAAGTGCAAGAGGTAAGAGAGCGAGGACAATTTTAACCATCAGCATTAGTGTGGATTCATGTTTCCCAAAAAGTGATCTGAATAAACCTTACTTGACAACTCGCAAAGTGTTGTTTTGCTCCAGAACATCAGCTAACTTCAAAGCAACTCCATCTGTCATGCCAACATTGCTCAAACTTAGTGTCTCCAGGTGGGTGTTCATTCCCAGGCCTTCAAACAACTGGTCGAATTTTTCATCAGAAATATTCTGTAACATAACAAGTGCAATATATTAAAAGATGATTAAGTATTCTTAGTATTGTGTGCTGTAATGTTGAAACATTACACCAAACATAAAATATAATACCTCACTAGTACAATTCACAAACGCAATGGAATTAAGTAAAAGGGTAGGTTCACAAATATAGCTTCCAAGTTACCAAATAACATTCAATATGGGTAAATTGGAATGATGAGTTTTCTAGATTTGGGGTATTAAGAAAACAACACCGAATGTAGCAAAGCAACACAAAATTAACTAGTGTTGTTGCAGAAATGCATGGACTTTCATGGATACTTAGTTTCCTCATCTCTTTAATCTGTGCCAGGGTTTCGCCCTACCCTCCAATCAGCTGCCATCTACTGATGCATAAAAAACATTTTTTCATGTTTTCTCAATTTTTCATGTTTTCTCAGTAGATTTGGGCCAAAAGTTGGGTGGTAACAAGACTTTCAAATAATTTTGGAATGGCGCTTAATTTAGGTATTGGTCTATACTTTTTCATTTTAGATTGATTTCATATTTTGAAAATGGGAACAACATAACTTTTTTCTATAATGTGAGAGAAAGACTTAGTGAAAGAGAAAGAGATTTAGTGACTTGATAATGAATAATCGTCACTACATTAGCAAACTTTTTATTTTAAAAGTTAAGGGAATGCTATCTGGGCCATATTCATTGCTCTCTTTCAATTTATTTCTCTTAATATTAAATTAACATCAACCATTAATTCAATGTTAGAAATTAATCGATTTACTAGTCAATCAATTTACAATATTAGAAATTAAAATTTAAGATAACTTACTATATTTAATAAAAGAAGAATAAGCAACATAAAGAAATGACTCTTTATCAGACCCTGCCCCTCCCCTGTCCTCTTACACTCCCCCAACTCCTAACAACCACCCTTTTGCCCTTCTGGCTTTCAGCAACATCAGCAACAGACCATATTTACCGAATCTAGTATCAATAATAAAAAGGCAGTCACAACATACAAAATAATTTAACTTAGCTAATTATCTAGATTATAATTTATTATATTAGATTATTATTCATCAAATAATTTCAGGGCAAAAAGTATGTTGAAAATCAAATATACAACATATCTAAATGTGTTAAAGAATTTTACAACAGTACATTCCAAGATGAATTATCAGTAAATAATATTACAGCATAATATATTTATTCTATAGGTAACAATATTCTGTAGTTGTATTTAAGAGTTAGCATTGTCTTTCATCTGTTTGTTGACTCTGTACTCTGCTGATCAATATTTCTTATTTAAGAGTATTTTAGTCTCTTAAAATTAGATATTTTCGTATGAAAATAATCTCGATCTAATAACAATACTTACTTTGATATTGTTCCAGTTGAGGTCAACAAGTTGGTGGTCATCATCTTTCACTTGCCGAATAGTTGCATCAACGTCAGTAGTATTAGGTGGATCAGCTGGGAAAGCTTTTGGTTGAGATGCTTTAGTAATACCATCCCAACCGAGACCCACAGGTTGTCCTTTGTTTAATAATGAAGCATGGTACTGGTCTTGGTTCATCATTGAGTGGAAACCAAGAATAGCTGAGAAAAATACAAAATATAATAAAAATATATTACAACCATTCTTCATTTGCAATTTACGTACTGTGATAACATGAAAGCTGTACTTCATATGTATTTACCACACAGGGCCTTAATTCCATTTATTTTATGGCACATCCCTTCACAAAGAAATTACTTGTTCATTACAGATGTCAAGTATATTACAATATTATAAAATTTGTAATTCTCTACAATATGAGAAAGTATGTGTTGTTAAGCACCTATAGTTTAAATATTGCCATTCGGAGTTTCTGAGGACTACATATGTTTTTAACAGGACATCTTGTACGGTATACAACACAAGTATCCAAGTTGTAAATCTAATTAACTGTTGCTTACTCACTATGTCACTCACCTGCCAAATCAATAATTTCTTCCTGAGAGGCCTCAGTGAGAGCATTCTCGTACTCATCTCCCAGGTCAATGGCAATCTGCTCCTCTGCCTCACGCTCTCTGACGGGCGGTGGAGGAGGAATCCACTGAAATGTCAATAACACTCTCTCAACGAATCAAAAAAGAATGGTACAATTTTACAGAGTACAGAGTGTAATGAAAGCAATAAAGAGAATACATTTCCAAGTTTTAGGCTTGTCAGTATTCTACTTCCCTGAATTATGTTGTTACAACATATGAAAAAGCAATATTTTTCAATTAAAATACAATGTATGCAAAGCTGATATTTCCGAGAATTCTTTTATCACTAAGTAAAAATATTAGATAAAGAACTTTTAGCTGTCATTTTGTTTTTGTTAAAACAAGAGGACAGATCTTACCATATTTGCATATTTCTTCATTATTTCCCTAAGATATACTTCATAGAAAAAAGTGTGTTTCAGACTACAAAAAGGAATTAAATGAAGTTCTGTTGTACATATTCTTGTAAACATTGGCAATACGTGCTTATTTCATGGTAACTTCCACGAGTTCTGCCACACTAATGTACCTTGAGACTAAACTCTTGTAAGATTTCTCGTTCACTATAATTGCAGACCTCTTCAAGAACAGATTTAATGCTGTTATGACACCTTATAAAAGATTCAGCTGCACCTGCTAGCCTGATCAACAAACTTTGCTTAAGTTTTTGAAACTTAAAGCCTTCAAGACGTTGATAAAGTTTCTATAAAATAATGATACCATCCAATAGATGCAGTAAAAAATACATATATATGAGAGATGGGGCAGAAGTCATGGCAACTATTTCTTTTCTTAACAGAAATGTTATCAGTTCACACAATATTATTTGTTGCATGAAAGAAATGCCGTTTTAATGTGTGTTCACAACAACAGACGGCTATTTGAGTGTGTCTATTAGCACTGAGAGCAATGTGAAATCACTTGTCTGACTATCGCTGTACAAGATGAAAGTAACTTGTTTCGAGCAGTGCTTGCACTACAAGATAGCTGTTCCCCATGGGAGAAATGCACGAGAATGTCACAGAGAATTGGTGAAAGCTCTTGGGAACAATGGCCTTCCCTAACAGACAGTTGTGAGAGTAGGAGAGTTTCTGAGAAGATGCATAGCAACCAATGACCAGCAAAGCATGTGCCAACCTGCAAGTGTGTGGACCAATGTGGTACAAGCAGTAATCGAGCACCTGCCTTATCAGGTCTTTATCCTTAGAGCATAATGCTTCTGGAATGTAGTGAACTTATATATGCTATAATGCTTTAGATCATGAAATAAGTAATGTCATTTCAAATACCTTAATGAATATGAGAAACCCAATTTTTGGTATGCTATATTAGACATGTACATTTTAAGAAATACAACTGTAAATTAAATGGGCATTTACCACTGTTATAAATAACTTTCATATAATACATTTTGCACAGATGTTATTAATTACATTTAGCTCAACAAAATTTTTAAAAAGTATTGTTTTCAAAACAAGGATGAATGTGCTTACTTCTTAAAAGAATCAGGACAATTTTTCACATGATCACAAGTCATGAATATAATTTTCTTTTTTAGTCCCTATCTTTTTTTTGATGGGTGCCTCTGTTCTACAGTGCAGATTATTTTACCCTTTTCCCCTGCCTGAATTCTTGAGTTATGCCTCTAAATCTTTATTTACTGATTTGCAATGACTATTAATAAGAATCATCCCTCTACTAAAAATGTTGATTTGCTGAAACGGCCAAAAAAACATGTTTGAACTGATAAGCCTTGAATCAGGAACTGATCATCACATTGTTTGAAGGATTGGTTAAGTCCCAAAACGTCACTTGAAACAGAGAACATTTTCAGATCAAAAAATGTGCTGTGCTACAGAAGAATGAACAGGACAAAACAGAAAATTTGATGTACTTAGTTGTTTCACAAAAAAATTAATATTTCTTAACAAATTACGAACTGGCACTACAGAATACTGTCCTACAACAGTTCCCAGACGTCTTGGAGAGTTGCAATCAACAACATTTGAATCTTTTAAGATGTGAAAAATCTTGAGAATATAATGACCAAAGTGAATTTAGGGGACCATAAATGATTCTGAAAGTGCTAGAATCACTTGGAGAAAGAGCTGTAGTTCCTCAAAACAATAGAAGATGCCTAACACATAACCGAATGCCAAGACAGAATCACCATTCACAGTCCTCCCTGTTTGGGGACGAGATGTCTTAATAATCGTGTGCTGACTGACTATAATTTAATTAAGCATGTATTAAATATTACTTTCATGGCCAAGGTAGTAAATTTATGACAGTTCATCCCCCAACTAATAACAAAGTCAAAAGACAAATAGTGTCTTCGGAAAGTTTCAGTTAATAACAAAATTTTCCAAAGGTGTTCATATTTCAACATAAGTATTGAGACAAATTGAAATAATGTTATAGATATAGTTGCAATCAAGTTCAAGTAGAATATTAAAGGAAGACTGGTATTGTACAAATTCAAAGAAGTTTGACTAAAATGAAATTAAACCTGAAGGTTTGTTTCAACACAGTTGAATAAATAGCTATATTTAGTGGTTTCACAATTTAAATGTATTTATCATTATATTGCCATCAATTAAATGTAGTAACAACCCCAATTAGTATGCACTGTGGAAGTTAAATTTTGTTAATGTAACTGCTCACTTGCAAGTTGCAGAGGACAATCTATAAGCGATATCATCTTCTACAATAACCTCCAAAATTTTGGGGGAGGAAATTTGTGGAGTTACTAGTTGATTATTTTTTTCATTGACATTATTTCATGCATTTAAAGCAATTTCTGTAATATGCCACTTACTTTCTTTCCCCTAATTGTGCCAGGAACATATGGTTTCAACTCTGGCTTATCCGGTGTTTCTAAGGCCTGTTTGTTGATGTGCTCAATTAGTTTTTTACGGTCCAAGGGTCCAGTAGCTTCCTTTTCGCAAGTGTAGCTACACCTCTGCGATGGTGGCAGAAAATTGTCCTGAAAATCATGAAATGGTATTATTGATCTTCACACAACATATTAGAAATAGTTTTTTCTTTTCCCTTTTAGATAGTTTTAGACAGCACTGGCTATATACATAGTTTACTTACATCTGGATCTACTTCCTTGGCAAGGAGGCTAATTTCCTCTGGAGACAATTGGGCCAGCAGCTGGTCCACATCAAGGTTTTCATATTCACTTAAATCTTTACCATACAGCTTCTGATTAGTGGCGGTCACCGTCTTCGTGGTAGTTGTGGTTGAGGAAGTCTGCAATGAAAACATACTTCAAAATTTATGCCAACGCCCCACGGTCGTCCTCCTGTCACCAAATTTGCGACCTGTATTTATTAAAGAAAGCCTGCTTAAAAAGTCTCCAAATAGAAACTCTTCTCCCCTACGTTCCGCCCCCTTACAAAATTGTCAGCGTTCTTCTTAATATTGCTGTATTGACACCTGAATGATCTCTACATCACTCTACATTACATATCGTGCCCGCAGACATTCACTTACCGTGCTCATTTTTCAGGAATTCACACGAACCAACACCCAACTAATTTGTGCCCAAATAAAGTCCACTTCTCAACAAGGGACTCGCGAGATACCAACTGAGCTTACGTTGCGAACATTCACTAATAGTACTACGCCCACTTCTGTGACCTCAAAACTCGAGATAACACCATTCTCATGGAATGAAAGCATCGATGAATACGTCTCGCTTTCTTCTCGCACTTAACGAGAAACCGTGCATGACAGCTTTGTTATGAAAGTTGTAGCGAAATGTCAAAATAAAATGTTATAAATCAATTGTAAATTTACTCACTTGTTGATTTTTATGACAAAAATTCTCATTAATCGCTCTTTATTGAGGTTATACTAGCTGAACTTAAGTGACTTCATCTTCATCTTTAAACTCCCTAAACCCTTAAACAGTAGGCCTAACGTCAATGTGTTAATGTGAAATGAGTCGATATTTATTTTATACTGAAATAATACAGGTGAAGATTATAGTAAAATAAATTACACAAAAGTAGGACGTTCGTAGCATGCCAAATGTATATTACTTGCCATGTTCATGTCGCATTAAATTCTTCACATCATAGGGACATCTTTATAGTATTTAAAATGCTGAGGTTTTCCGCTTAGAAACGAATTGGAGCTATCTACTTAATCAAATTTCGACATTTTTGCTTTAACTGAAAGGTTATGAGTCCCAGGTGTATTGTTATTACTTTAACAGCTTTATTAGCAGCTATTATTAAAACTCAGTATTAACAGTCTTTGTAGTAAGCCAATAAACTCCAAATTTAATACGCGTTTTTTTTCTTCAAATTAATGCTAATATGCCGTCTTTTGTCATTCCCGTCGATACCAAGATCAACTACATTGTACAGCAGGAATTTAGATGATTTTAGCCGTTTTGTTGCGCATGTTATAGCTGACCTATAAAAAGTAGTCGACGTTTTGTGATGATATACTAGCTAGCGAAGTAAAAATTAGTGTATGTATATTAACATAATAATGACCAGTAATCATTTCACACATGGGTTCCTAAGTTTAATGCGTATAGACATGATGCATTATGATATTAAGTTACGTAAAGCTAAATGTACCGATGGTACCGATAAGCAGGGCCGGATTAACACTCTTGGAGGCTCCCGAGCGGTCTAATGCGGGAACCCTTACGAAGGTACTATTCATTTCCTTATTCAATCATAATTTTTGCTTAGGGACGAAAAAAAATTATTTTCTACTCAGAAAGTGATGCCCAACAATATTCGTTAAGAAAAACACCTGTATAAAGACATAGTTATGAAATACTTAACTTATAAATTGGAAATTTAATAGGCCTAATAAAAGGTAAAACAAAAAAAAAAACAACACACTAGTTTAATTTAAAACTTTTAACTTTAATACTTTTAACTTTCTGTTCATGTACATAAATCAAAGGAAACGAGATCTAAACAAAAGAATCTTTATTGAGAACAATAACTCGTCATAATATTCATAGCATACAAAAATATTAGGTATAACAATGTAATAATAATAATTAATCAAAATTACCTTCATATGGAATTTGTGGTGTTGCCCTAGATTGATTAACTTCGTACCTTAAACATCGATCTCAAAGAGTAGAAATATCGTACTGGAACGAAAGAATATATACTCTCTGCGAAAGGACATTATTTACTTGTCTTTCCAATTCTTTAACAATTGAAAATGAGAGCCCGCAAGGTTCGATCATGGATCCTATACTCTCTCTTAACGATATGCTACGTTTCAAATTGGTTTTGTAATATGTAAATTAATAGTTAACGAAGTAAAGACTGTTTCAATGCATTTTTGCATTTCAAATCAGCAATCGCATTCTTCATTGAAAATGAACAATATGCAATTAGCTGATATTAAGGTAACATTTCTAGGTCTCTCAATTCAAACCTCAAATGGAATGTACTACAGACCTTTAGATTGCAAACGAAAATTATTCGAATAATGAAAAAAATGTCAAGTGATCCCTGCAGGCCCCTCTTCGTTGAACTTGTAATCTTACCATTGCCTTGCCTATTTATTTACAAATCTGTAATATTTGTCAAAACTGACTTACTTTACGGTGGGAACATATTTTAGTGCAATACTGTTATTTATAATTACAACACAAGTCGTAGAAATCACGTTCATCAAGTGTCAGTCATCACGTTCACAAGCTCTCTACAAGAAATCGACATATAATTTATGTACGTTACTTTACATTGCACTGCCAGATGACATTAAACAATTGGAGTCGGTACATAAATTTAAGTTAAAAGTAAAACATTTTCTGCTACATAGCTGTTTCTATACATTTAGAGTCTACACTGAGCATCAGAAAGAATTTTTTTCTTTTATCAAAACAAGGATATATAATGAATTAGTTTACATTTGTATAATTTTTACTTTCTCGCACTTACTAACGTAAGAAGAAGTATTGCAATCGTGCGCCTGGAAATAGCGAATTTTCGACACAAAAACTCGTATTGACGGGCCCTGTTAAGGAAAAATGGACAAATCCAGTTGCTAAATACAGAAAAAAATCCTCTTAACACGTGGTGTAGCCAGAATTCATGTTTTATGCGACTTTGATACCAAAAAATCGATTGATGTCAAAACGTGTCTAACTGGGCACAGCGCTAGCGCATAAACCGTTCAGCCGAGTTTCTCCAAAATTGATATTCCTCAATCGTTCTAGATGATCTTGCGGCCCCTGGAATTTGAAACCGATATTTTAATTTTGGGGGGAACTTTACATGAAGACCTTGGGAAATGTTCAAAATTTAATAAAACGGGTCCAATTTTTTTAAAATTAAATTTTGTTGTTGAATACAGCAAAAGACGTTTTAAAGAATGGTGCAGGTCTCATTTTCGTTGACATTCCCCGGTTTTTTGATGATTGGAAAGAAAAAAAGAAATTAAAACTTCAATTTTTTTATTTAAGACAAAGTCTGTTGTACAAAATTAGTTCAAAAAAGGTCATGTACAATGTTTTGAAAAAAAGTAGTAGTTTTTGCGTACTTTGGGATTGAAAAGAAACAAAAGAAATTGTCAAAAACTGCTCAAATTTTTTTCTTCAAACTTTTCTCACGTATGTAATAAGAAACGGCATATTATGGCGCTAGTCTAGTTTTGAGGTAGTATTCATTTTTTTCAAAAATTTCAAAAATCTTTTCAAAACTCCAAAATTAAAGGTAGACATTTTTGCCTCGACCAAATCTGAAGTACAAAATCAACTCTTCAAAAAAGGTATGTACAATTCATTGAAAAAAAAATGAACTAGTTTTGCGTCATTTCTGTTTGAAATTAATTAAATATATACAGGTTTCACACCAACTACGGACCACCTTCCACATAGTGCAAAAATGGCGCCTTTAGAAAGAATTGATAAGAAAATATGTGCCCATAATTGGCAGCGCCCATCGCTGCATGCGCGCTTTGTTGTCAGCGCTCTTCGATTGAGATGTGCTGATATAGTCAGAAGTTATAATACATAACCGTTACATAATACTAATAATGGTATAATACATCTCGATTAAATATTTCGTATAACGTATGAATATCAATCTTTAGCTTTTCAAATTTACCACAAAAACGCCGGCCTGCGTCAATGTCCTGAGTCAATGTTGCGTCACTACGCACACGTTTTGTTGAACTCTCCTTTTGCTTGTAATAGTAAGAGTAGAGGTAAGGGCGAGTTACTATTTTGTTAGCAGTGCAAAAAAATCAAACAAGCAGAGCGTTTACTGTTGCAAATAAGTGTTCTATAACTCGGGAACGGAAATGTCTATTTTTTCATGCTAATCTTGCGCCTTTTTAAACTTTATTTTTAGTTATTTCTCTGTAACTTTTATTCATCCATCAAATATTGATAGTTAAAATGATGGGAAGGGATTCTGGAACAATAAAACGTGCGCAGATGGCCTTCTCCCCCATACGTCACATACAGATTTTGTTTAATAATAAATAAATCATTACCATCAATGCTGATTTACAGCAGGATTCACTTGACTCCGGATGAGCACAAATGAGTACAAGTGTGTATTACTTGCCATGTTCATATCGCATTAAATTCTTCACATCATAAGGACATCTTTACATTTTGTTTCTGGGTCGTTGTTGGTAACAAAATTATTACGTGAATTCAGTTTCGTTACCGTATAAACAGACAAGTAGAAGACTGATTCGTTTTGTTTCTTTACCCAAACGAAAGTGAATTTTTTTACATCGGAAAAGAAAAGTTATTTCCTTATTTAGTTTCGATATTAATATTTATTGAAGGACTAAATAACCAGGACAAGTTCAATGAGAAGATTTTGACCCCTGGCTGTATTTTTATACGTACTGTTTTGTTTCAGAACTTGTTACAAACCAGTGATTATCTGCACCTATTCCTCTATCCTATAAACTGTAAAGCGAGGTCATAATTGGTCATGAAAAGGAATTGTCTACCATTAGACCAAAAAGTTAACTTTGAGTTCGTATTAAAAGAGGGCATTAAAAATGATACTTTGAATTCACTATGACGTACAGTTTGAGACGCCACATCGGTATGGCATGCAACTCCTCACACTCGGGCTATCTAACGAAAAATATACAACAAGAATTAGCTGGGTACTCATTACCCAATGGCGTGGATTAATTTCTATACTAAACGGCATTGTTCTAAAATGAAAAGAAAAAGAAGCATTTCATTAACATCCGTCTCTACTCATAACACTGGCTAACTTCTCACGAAGTTTTATCTTTGATCTTATCGTACGTTGTTTTTCTTGCTGGCTCCGGGCCAGAAGTTTTCTCCGAAGTTTTGTGCGCAAAATGATCATAAACTTCTTCTTTCGCCTCACACAGATCTCAAAGTTTTATTCCCAAAGGTCTTTCTTCAGTACTGATAAGTGTTGGCCGTCGCTAGTTGCCTACTCTGGACTGTAGGGTGAACGGTCCAACTCTTTGAAGCCAAGGTCCTTCACAACATTCTTTGCAGTCTGAGCAGTAAGCACAGGTGCGCTGCTGTGAAGAAGCCAACCACACAGGGATTTCACGCACCGCTTCCAACTCCAGTTCCTCTCGCCACAACCGATTGAGATGTCTGCTGCAAACCAGAGGCGGCAGGCGCCTTAAGGGCTTTAGGGCGGCGCCCTCCCCAGGAAAATTAACCTCGGGCAAAAGTTTCACAAAGTACTAAACTTGCAATAAGTCGACTCGTTTAATTTGTGCATTCCAC